AGCCAAAATACAAGAAGATATGGCAAAGTAACAGGACTCAAGAGACAAAAGACAGCCACCCATTTTGTCATATCATTGCTAAATGACTCCATGTTCTAAACCATATATATGGTAGATATATGCATGCAACAGAAGGAAGCCAGAGGAGGAACAGAATAAGTGGGAACAGCCTACACCAAGCAAAAGGAAAGAAATGTAAACATCACCTGATGTGGAAAAAATGACTTGTATTATCAAAGCTCATAGAATTCACAAACTGTATAGACCATGATAATGACAAAAATTTGCCTTGTGAAAGCTAAAATGTGTTTGTCACTCTAAGTATCACTATTCCACAATACTGTGAAATATGTGAAATTTATGTAATCACCTAATCTTAAAGAAAAAAAGTGAGAGAAGGGATGGGTTAGGAGAGATGGTTGACAATGTTGTCAGACACTTTGTATTCATATACTGTTTTGTAGAATGGGAACTTCTTTGTACAACTAAAAGATAAGAAAAATAAAAATAAATAAAAGCATTCACATACTAGGAAAGGTGGCGGACAAAGGGGTGGAATTCCTTGTTTGGAAATGCCACCATTCTAAGGTTCCTCTTTGCCTATCTCCTTAGCTGAACCATGGGAATTATCATGAATAAGGACAGTACTATGTTCTGGGAAAGAGAAAAGCAATATGGAGAGTGGAAAGTGGGTGGGAACAGCACAGGCATATCAGAAAGGAACTAAAAGACATTAGAAAGTGAGACTGGCTGGGTACTGGTGACTCACATCTGTAATCCTAGCTACTCAGGATGCTGAGATTTGAGGACTGTGGTTCAAAGCCAGCATGGGCAGGAAAGTCTGTGAGAATCTTTGTGCTGTTGCCCAAAGCACTCAAAGTGATAGAGTGCTAGCCTTGAGCAAAATGGGCTCAGGGACAGTGCTCAGGCCTTGAGTTCAAACTCCATGACCGGAAAAGAGAGAGAGAGAGACAGACAGACAGACAGACACTGGTTGGTATCTATTTGAGCTACCATTAAAAAAAATTACCATAGATATTTATTTTCTAATTGTTCTAAAAACTGGAAAGTTAAAAACCACGGTTCTAGCAGGGCTGTTTCTGATGAGGGCTCTTACTGATTTCTATACAGCTGCTTTGTTATTGTGTTTCCTTATGTGGCAATGGCGATAAAGCCACCAATCCCATCAAATTAGGGTCTACCTTTATGACCTTATTTAACTTTAGTTATTCCCATATAGTAACATGGGGGACTAAGGCTTCAACATATAAATTCGGGAGGAACACCATTCAATTCATAGCATTACAGTATATGCTGGATATAGCCAAAGCAGCCCTGTGGTCTCAGATGGAGACAAAAACATTAAATCCAGTGTTTTTCTATCAGTATATCTACTAATCCTTTCCTTTTCCAGTTGCCTTTTCTGTGAGATATTCAGGAAATCCACTCCTGCAAATCTTTCATTTAGGAGCCTCTTTGGGCATCCTGTAGACTTCCAGAGTCAAGGAAAAATTGGCTTCTTATTTCTGTGTCAGTTCTCAAATATGTGAGCTCTATCATGTCATGAGTTTCCAATACTGGCTAAAATGAATCACTCTAGGTCCAATTCTCAGCCTAGGGAGGGGAGTTTAAAAAAAAAAAAGGCTTTTCCAATGGCAGGGCATGGTGGCTTACAACCTATAATCTCAACACTTAGAAGACTGAAGCAGGACAACCAAGAGTTGAAGGCCAGAGCTACAGAGATAGATGCTAATCAGATAGATAGATAGATTGCTTGATAGATAAAATAAAGTAATAAAATAAAATAAAATGGCTGAGGGAGGGTGTGGCGCAGTGGTAGGGTACTTGCCTAACAAGTATGAGGTTTTGAGTTCAATTCCCAGTACTGAAATAAATAAATAAATAATAAAATAAATAAATACATCTTGAAAAAGAAAAAGAGGAAGTGGCACTATGGCTCAGTGCTAGTCTTGACCAAAAAAAGGCTTAGGGACAGAGTTGAGGCCCTGAGTTCAAGTCCCAGGACCAGAAAAAAAAAAAGAGCCAGGTTCAAGCCTGTAATTCTATCTTATCTAGTCAGGAGGCTGAGATTGGAGGATTGTGGTTCAAAGCCAGCCCCTAAATTCAAGCCCTAGGACTGGCACACACGCGCACACGCACATACAAAGTGCCAGGCACTGGTTGCTTACACCTGTAATCCTAGCTACTCAGGAGGCTGAGATCTGAGGATCGTGGTTCAAAGCCAGCCTAAGCAGGAAAGTCCATGACACTCTTATCTCCAATTAACTGGGAGAAAACTGGAAGTGGTGCTGTGGTTCAAGTAGTAGAGTGCTCACCTTGAGCTGAAATGCTGAGGGACAGCGCCTGGGCCCAGAGTTCAAGTCCCATCACAGACCAAAAAAAAAGAAGTTCAACTACATCCCATACCAATTCTGTTGGATACTGGGAAGGTGGGAAGACCCAAGTGTCAGTAATATTTACACCTCACTACATAATTCCAATAAGACAAAGCGGAGAATCAATGACAACAGTGTGTCCTGGTCACAGCTCTTAGGTTTTGATTTAGTTGGTTTATAGTGGGACCCAGGACTCTGCATTTTTTAAAACAATCCTTCAGCTGATTCTAATGGCTAGATAGGCTTATAACTCTCTTTTTGAGGCTAAACCATTTGCCTTCACCAGTACTTTGTATATTTATTTCTATGGCCAGACCTGAGTGTTAGGGCTACAGATTTGATTTCTGTCCTCCTCTTTATGACACATCATTTTGGTGACAGTAGCTCATTTATACAAAAAAGATAAAAAGGAGAGCATTTTCTTGAAATGTGAGGGGACTCAGCAGAAGAACCAAATTGGATTTTTTTTTTAAAGTGTGCAGCTTGCCAAAGGAGAGAGCAAGACATCTGGTAGAGAATAAAGAAATGACAAAAATATGAGAGAGAAAGTCACAGGGATGAAAAGTGGATTAGCAGGGTCCAATAGCAAATTCACAACACTGAACATTGGGAAGGATCTTACTTTGGGCAGAAAAAAAATAATGACAACCACATATTCTGGTGCCCTCATTTTTTACCCATCCTACTTTTACACTCCATTGATTCTTCATATAAAGGTTACTATGGATGTGCCAAACTATAAGAGTTTAATAGGGTAAAAAGACAATAAGACCAACAATAGGATAGAGAAGAAGGAATTTCTGACATATTTACTGAACACAGAACAAGAAAGATCAACTTGTCTTAACATTTTTTAGGGGTGGGAACAGTGGGGTTTGAACACAGGTCCTAGTACTTGCTAAGGAGGTGCTATATATAACATTTAAGCCATGCCTCTATCCTTTTCATTTTTCAATTATTTTTCTAGTTGGGTCTTGAATTTATGACTAGCCTGGATTGAGATTTTCCTATTTTCACTTCCCTCATGAGCTAAAATGAGATATGCACATCAATATGACTTGCCCCCACCCCAGCTTTTTGGGCAGTACTAGGTTTTAAACTCAAGGCCTTGCATTTGCTAGGCTAGTGCTCTCCTACTTGAGCCATGCCTCCAACCCTGTTTTTAGCTGGTTATTTTGAAGATGGAGTATAGCAAACTTTTTCAGGTTGGTCTAAACTACAAGCCTCCTGATCTTAGAGTCTTGATATAGCTTTTATTAAAAGTGTGAACCATCAGTGCCCAACCCATGTCTTACTTTTATTTCATAAGATGGGGTCTCATTAACTATCTAGTGAGTGGTTCAGGCCTTGAACTGAAATTCTCCCATTTCCACATCTTTAGTAGCTAGGTTTACAAGCATGAAGCACTACAACTGGCTTTTGTTTATTTATTTTTTGATGGTGGTACTGGGGTTTGAACTCAGGGCCTCATGCTTGCTAGGTAGGGGCATTACTACTTGAGCCATACCTTGGCCCTTTCTTTTGCTTTAGAAACCTTTTGGCTAGGGTCACGTACTTTTGCCTTAGATGAGCCTCAGACTGAGATCCTTCTGATCTATGCCTCCTAAGTACCTGAGATTACAGGAGTGAGCCACTGTACACACAGATTTTTTGGTGCCTTGTATGACACCACTGTACTTGCTGAGTACCTGTGTCTATGAACTATATGACACTCAACAAAGTTCTTTAACACTAACATAAAAGTAAGGTATACTACTGACATCTGAGCATCTCTGATAAAAAGTGATGTTGAAAGAATGGTCATATCATAAACTTGACAAACTCTAAAGAGAGTAAATGAAGTCTGTATACATTACATGTTAATTTTTCCTTATAGAAACTGCAAACCAGGGCACCTGGATTCAAAATCAAATATTACTTATATAAGTTCCTACTTAAACTTGCCATATTATTTTTTTCATTTAAGATTTCCATCTGTACAAGAGGAAAAGTTTAAAGATGACTGATTTAGCTTGAAAAAATAAAAGTAAGAGAGAAAAGGGGACTGGGAAGGTGGCTCAGTGGTAGAGTGCTTGCCTTGCATGCCTAAGGCCCTGGGTTCGATTCCTCAGCAACACATAAGCAGAAAAAGCGCTGTGGCTCAAGTGGTAGAGCGCTAGCCTTCAGATGAAGAGCTGAGGGACAGCACCCAGGCCCAGACCAACAGAAAAAAAAGAAAAAAGAAAAAAGAAAGAAAGAAAAAGGAGGGAAGACATCAAAGAGTGGGTTAAGAAATATTATTTGGACGGGAGGGTTAAGGAAGAGGGTAAATTAGAATATAGTGAGCATAGTTTCTTCACATGTATAAAAACAACAATGAAACCTATAGAAATTGTCTTAAGGGAGTTGGAGAGAGTGAGATGGGGTGGGAAAAGTTGATTGTGATTGTACAACTAAAGCATACTAATAAAAAATTTAAGAAAAAAATGCATTTAAGAAAATATTCCCTCCATTGGAAGTTAAGCTAAATGTTCTGAGTTCATTACTATTCTGATAATATAGAAAATGAACTAATGACAGTATAAACACTTGCTTACATTCTTGTGAAAAAAGAGTGGTGTTTACCTTATCATTTAGAAGTGGTTTGATTTCTGTGAGTTGAACGTCCTGAAGTTCATCCATGAGGGCAGATGAGAGTATAGGAGTCTCAAAACTCAATCAGTAACTCTGAAACAGAAAAGAGAAGAAAAATGCTTAAGCTAGAACTGGAAAAATACTAGTCACACTATACTCATCCAGTGTTTGAATGGCTAAATAAGGGAACCATATACTCAGAGCTATACTTCTAGCAACAACCATTTAAAGGATGGATTAAAGAGGGTCAAAATTAGAAGGTTAATGTAGGATAACACTCTCATTTAGTAATGACAATGAAAAAGAGAATGAACACCTTTCATTAGAGACTCAAAGCACTGAAGAGTATGGCAGCCAGTCTCCAAGATAGCCTCCTATGAGTCCAGTGATCCCTGACTTCGGATATTCACACTCATGTACAATCTCCCCCCAAAGGATGATCTGTATAACTAACAGTACAGTAGATGCAATAGTATGTGACTTCTGAAGCTATATTACCAAAGGCATTATTTCTGCTTCATGGCACTACAGTCTTGAACTGTATCTGGAGGAAGATAATTAGCATATTGTGAGGATACTCAAGAGATCCAGGCCCTATGTTCAAACCCCAGTATTTGCAAAAAGGAGGGGAAAGGCGAAGAGGAGGAGGAAGAGGATGAGAAAAGGGAAGAAAAAGGAGTAAAAGGAGGAAGAGGAGGGGTGATGTTGGTAGTGAGAGAGCCAGGCATCTTTGGCTAATGCCTATAATTCTAGCTATTTATTATAGAAATTTTAGCTATTCCTACTAGGTGGAGACCTAGGAGATCACAGTTAGTAGGCAGCCTAAGGCCAGGTGTTGTTGATTCATGCCCAGCTACATGGGAGGCTGAAATCTGAGGATGGTGGTTCAAAGCCAGCCAGGGCAGGAAAGTCTATCCATGAGACTCTTTTTTTTTTTTTTTTTGGTCAGCCGTGGGGCTTGAACTCTGGGCCTGG